ATATATTACGTGCTAAAGTATAGTGCTTTTATCTACAAAGGTTAAATTAAATACTAATGGATAAGATCAAATGTAAGTATCGATAATGGCATCATTCAGACAATTCATTGAAGTCAATTTAGCCTCAGTTTGGGTAAACGGTATAATTTATAAAACAATTTAGCTCATGTTTGACACACATTCTTTCAAAACTTATTTCAACCACATATTTTTCAATAAAATAATATTTTAAATCACATCAATTACCGATTAATCAAATTATTCAATAACATTAACTACATGCAGCCACAAGGTAGTCGCTCTACTAATTGTGCATAAAGAAGAGAGAGTCAGTCTCTTGACTCTTTAGCAACTAAGAATTATGTGAAAGGATCATTGGCGAGCTAGTATAAGAGGAGCAATAGGAGCTAGTTTCGGTGAGAACTTCGATAAAAGAAGATATTTAGGGACCGAGCAACTTAGCCCATCAATGTAGTATAGAAAAAAATGGTCCCATGGTAGATGTATATGTATAATCTCGAAAGTATCCCTAATGCATAAATGGATAGAAAACAAAATTTGGATTCAAGTACAACCTCAACAAAACCAAGGGAGTTCACCTATTGTTATCAGGTGGGGGATGAGCAGGATAATTTGCCGGAGGATAACCATAACCTTGAGGAGGATAAGTAGCTGGGTGGAAGCCCTGGGGTTGTGGTGGAGGTGAAGTGTAGCCCTCAGCTAGTGGTTGTGGCGGTGAGGGATAACCAGGGGGATGGCCATAGCCTGGAGGAGTTGGGCGATAGCCTATGGGGGGACCATAGACTGGTGGAGGTGGGGGATAACCCGGGGGCATACCATACACAGGTGGAAGATAGTTGGGGGGGCTGACCATATGGTGGTGGGGGTGGATAACCGACTTGAGGAGGGACAGGTTGATCTATACGAGACATCTGTTGAACAGGAGGCACTGCTATTACTGATGGTGCTCCAAACTTTCCATCCATTTTATCCATTTCAGTCTTGTGCTGTGTCTGCATAAAGTGTCAACTATGATAAACAAGTAGTGCAAATAGTACTTGAAACTAAAAGCACGGTGCTATCAAAAAGTTCGAATCTTTCTTCCCCCAAAAAACTTGTATAGTTGATCTTTCGTTGCAAAGTCAGGTACAAAATCCTAATTTATGATACAAGACATACTTGCATACAGGGGCAAACCCTGCCAAAACGAAACGAAAGAGATATTATGATTTAGTATATTTTTTAATTTAAATAACTTCGATGTTGTATGAAAAAGTAATCGGAATATATTACGTGCAGTAAACCATGTCAGAAAGACAGTTCAATAGCTGGGATGCCTCCTCAATGTCC